GTCAGGGGCATGAACCTTGGTTGCGGGCACATCCCCAGTGGGGGGCGTGCAGGAGGCAGCTGATGGATGTTTCTCTCTCATCGATGTTTCTAACTCTCTATCCCTCTCCCTTCCTCTCTGTAAAAAATCAATAAAATATATTTTAAAAAAATTTATATTCTTAGCCTCGATGCCCATCAGATTCACCTTGGGGAGTGTTATGAATCCTAATGCCTGGACCCCACCCCCGACAAATGAAATCCGAATCCCAGGGGAAGGGATGGTGGCATCAATGCTAAAGCTTCCCAGGTGACTTTACTATCAGTCATGATGGAGAACTATTTGTCTAGATCAGGGGTGGGGAACCTTTTTTCTGCCAGGGGCTATTTGGATATTTATAAGAATATTCATGGGCCATACAAAATTATCAACTAAAAAATTAGCCTGCTATCTTTGGTCAAACATTTAATTAACTCACTCCTAATGTCTTGGAAGGGACAGGCCAAAAGATTTTGAGGGCCTTATATGGCCTGAGGGCTGGATATTCCCTACCCCAGCTCTAGATCCTCAAATGGGTGGTGATCTATCCTATAAATCGAATATCCTACACCCCACCCCAAAGAGGACTTACCAGGTTTAACTGGAGGGCAGACTCTAAAAAGACATATACTCCCAATTCACAAATTCAGCTTTCCTAGAGGGATAATGCTCTGCCCTTCATGTGTGTTGACTAGTTAGACCAGCCTGCGCCTAGAGCCAATTAAATCCCAGTGGAGTGGAACCCAGGCATGAGCCATCGCTAAACCTCTCAGGTGAGGCCCATGTGCAGCCAAGCTGAGAACCACCACTTTAATGGTGCCTGCTTTGTTTGGAAGAGGAAGTAAAGGCAAAGCTGCCCCCATTAACCCCAGTGAACGACAGTAACCTGGCAGCAGCTATCATGCGTGCTAAGCACTGGCTCTCCCCATTGAGATTTATGGCCTTGGGCAAACAACAGAACCTGAACTTGGCATGGTGCCATCATCCCCAGCACTAATTACAGCTTAAATAATTCTCGTCAGTTTGTGCATAAAATAAATGAACCTCAATTTAAGACAACTTCCCCACTGTGTCCTGGTTAATGGATTCACAATATACAGGTCTTCACAATCATAAATAGACAAGTTTTATTTTCACACAGAGGAGAAGATATTTAAACCTAGTCATCTCAACATGAATTTTTTTTTTTTAAACTAGATATTGGGTCATGGAAAAAATATTGCTTACATGGTCAATGATAATAGGATAACAACATGTACTCTATTCAATCACTAATCAATACGATTATCACTAGCGTCTTTCAATTTATTCATTGCTTCTTGTCATCAATTTCATTCAATCTTTGGCAAGTAGGGGAGAAAACAGGTTGCAGACATCAGTATGAAGAATGGCAGCTGAATGATAAGACTATACACCCAGAACATGCAAAGAAAGAGAGTTTATTAAATAACTTGGCAAAGCAGTGAGAAGAGAAATATCCACTACTGCACTGTTTTCTTTAGCAACTGTCTCCCACCAAAAACCGCATCCTCATTCACGGACAGAAAAAGAACATGCCAGCACAGGCCATCTGCTTAAGGTTCCAGTTCTGAACCCCGGGACAAAAGTATCCTATATAATAAAAGGGTAATGTGCAAATTGACCCTAATGGCCAGGAACGACCGATTGCTATGATGCGCACTGACCACCAGGGGGCAGACGCTCAATGCAGGAGCTGCCCCCTGGTGGTCAGTGTGCTTCCACAGGGGGAGTGCCACTCAGCCAGAAGCTGGCTCATGGCTGGCCAGCACAGCGGCAGTGGCAGGAGCCTCTCTCACCTCTGCAGTAGCACCAAGGATGTCTGACTAATGGCTTAGGCCCACTCTCCTGGGGGCAGGGGGCCTAAGCCGTTAGTCTGACATTCCCTGAGGGCTCCCGTGCTGCCAGAGGGATGTCTGACTGCCAGGTTAGGCCTGATCCCCCAGGAAGTGGGCCTAAGCTGTCAGTCGGACATTACCCGAGGGGTCCTGGACTGTGAGAGGGCACAGGCCAGGCTGAGGGAACACCCTCCCCCTGCACCAGTGCATGAATTTTCATGCACCAGGCCTCCAGTCTTTTAATAATTAAAGTAAGCTTTATTACATAACAATATATTTCTCATAGTCTGATTTCAAAGCATTAACTAACTATGAATGAAATGAATGAAAACCAGTAAGGTCTTCCTTTTCTGGCTCCCTGGGACCAACCTTGGACCAGCTGGGTGATCAACAGCTACTGCTGAATATGTAAATGAGAGGAAGGTGAGGTGGCAAAGAAGTCTAACCAAGCTGGGGTTGGCACAGCTGGCCCAGTGGCCTCAGAAACAAGACCTAGGGATCTCAGGAGCAGAGCCAGGCAGAGTGCTGAAATGGGAACCTGGGCTAATGCATGCTTAGGCCCTCTTTTTAAAAAATATCTTTTTATTGATTTCTGAAAGAGGAAGGGATGGGGAAAGAAAAAGAAAGATTGGCTGCCTCCTGCACGCCCCCTACTGGGGATCGAGCCCACAACCTGACTGGAAATCGAACCGGCAACCTCTTGGTTGATGCACCGGACGATGCTCAACCAACAGAGCCACACCAGCCAGCAGGACCTCTTTTGTGTAACAAGATGGTGGGATGTGGACTTGGGCAAGCTGGGTGCCATGACAGAGAGATAGGGAGCTAACCCAGTGGTAGTTAGGGAGGAGGTAAGGCAGGTACAATAGTTGGCATTTCTCCCAGAGGAAGCACACTGTGATGACAAGGACTCTGCACAAATGCCCCTGGTTCCGTGCTTCTTTTGCAGGCTGGCCTAAGTCTCAGAGAGACCCAGCCCTGGCCATGGGCAGGGGATGCTGCTGATTCTAGATGGATAACCTGGTATTTTAAGTTCTTAGGAGAGGAGTAACAAAGCTAAATTCCTAGGAGAGTAGTGAAAAGAACTTAGCACCTGCCAAAAAGAAATACAAGATAATAAACGGCAATAATGTGAATTTTTTGGCTATTTGAACCAAGCAGAAGATAACTCAGAAGATTATGCTGTTCCTAACAACCTATGGGGATCACAGTGAGGCCACGTGACCTCCTTAGACCTTCACAAATGGAGGAGTTTTTAACTATGCATGAGGACAGAGCCCTACAGAAAAAGAGAAAGAAGAATTTGTGTGGGAAGACTACAAGATATTTAAAAAAATTACAATGTGCCAGGCAAAGCAGATTAAACATATCTGATCTGCATCCCCCTTTTCCTGACATTCAAGCCCACTTCACTGTCCAGTGACTGGCAGTTATTCAAGGAATATATGTATGGAATGCAGTGCAGTCATTAAAAAATCACACTGGGAAGGGCATTTCATGACATGTTAAAAAACAGCATATTATTATTATTATTATTTATTTTTTAGAAGTTTTCTTTTTTTTTTTTAAATATATTTTATTGATCTTTTACAGAGAGGAAGGGAGAGAGATAGAGAGTTAGAAACATCGATGAGAGAGAAACATCGATCAGCTGCCTCCTGCACATCTCCTACTGGGGATGTGCCCACAACCCAGGTACGTGCCCTTGACCGGAATCGAACCTGGGACCTCTCAGTCCGCAGGCCGACGCTCTATCCACTGAGCCAAACCGGTTTCGGCAAAAAACCAGCATATTATATGGCTCAATTTTAGGAGAAATGGTTAAAAAACAAATTCATCAATAATCTGCAACATGAACCAGAATGCTAATAGTAGTCATCTCTGAATTATGGAATTAGTACTGTTTTTTTCTCTTCTCCTTTCTTTCTTTCTTTTTCTTCTTTTATATTTTTCAAGTTTTAATAACCATGTGTTAATTTTTCAGTTAGAAAAAAAGCCATTGTTTTACAAGGGTTCAAGTTAAACATCCTGCAACACCATTTTAGACAATAAGGTCTTGATGAAGATGGCCACCACAGCACCTCTGATTTTAGGTTGCTGACAAGGAGAGGATCCTGAACTTTTCCATTGGGGTTACTACCCACTAGGGCAGTGATGGCGAACCTTTTGAGCTCGGCGTGTCAGCATTTTGAAAAACCCTAACTTAACTCTGGTGCTGATCACATATAGAAATTTTTTTTTTTTAATATATTTTATTGATTTTTTACAGACAGGAAGGGAGAGAGAGAGAGAGTTAGAAACATCGATGAGAGAGAAACATCGATCAGCTGCCTCCTGCACATCTCCTACTGGGGATGTGCCCGCAACCCAGGTACATGCCCTTGACCGGAATCGAACCTGGGACCTTTCAGTCCGCAGGCCGACGCTCTATCCACTGAGCCAAACCGGTTTTGGCTGATCACATATAGAAATTTTTTGATATTTGCAACCATAGTAAAACAAAGACTTATATTTTTGATATTTATTTTATATATTTAAATGCCATTTAACAAAGAAAAATCAACCAAAAAAATGAGTTCACGTGTCACCTCGGACACGCGTGTCATAGGTTCGCCATCACTGCACTAGGGGATGCTAACCACTGGGGACCCTGAACTTATTGGGGAGAGAGCACCCTTGCCACCTACATTCTCCTTTCCTCTGGAAAGTTCCAGAAACTCTGGCGAAGGCATTGAGCTGGGACAGTCCAGATAATACATGTAGAATGTGCACGTATATCTAATTGTATTCATTCATCTCTATAAATAAATGTTAACATGAGAAAATATGTGTTCAACCCAATGATCTGCAACCAAATCCGGGAGTTCCAGGCCCCCAGTGACAATCACTCCAGGTCACAGAAATCCTGCACATAAAAATGAGAAGAAAATCTAGACAACAAAATAATCCAGAAAGGAATCCCAGGTCACTAGCCCTCGGAAGCCAAAGCCAGAACTCTGAGGCCCCCAGGCACAGATCTTGCTGCTGGCCCTGGACACACAGGGGCCTGAAAAGTACTATGGCTCTCAGAGCCCAAAGGCAAGGACACAGTATGGCATGAGGGGTGTGGGGGTGGGGGCTACTCACGCTGTCGTTGCTTCCTTTGTTGTCCTCATACTTGGTTTCTATATGAATGGAGAATTTCGGCAAGAAGGAACACTATGGAAAAAGAGAAGGTTTCATTAGCATACCATTTTTTTCTATTCGCATATTCAACATAGGCTCTGGATGCTCTTCTGACCACTTGCTTGGGAACACTGTTTGTAACCAGAAAGGCTCAGATACCAGGTCAATATCCAAATTCAGACAAGAAAAGCCACCTTTGGCAACGTGAACACAAAATTTCATCCAGAAGTCAGGCTGGAGAGAATGCCAAGCAATGGAAGGCAAGTCACTGAAGAGGATGTTTTCAAAAGGATTGAGAGAAGCAAACACCTGAATCAGAGGCAATTCCAGCTTTGGGCCTAACTCTGGACAACAGCGATTACTGCTGGAACCCGGGGACCCAGCCTTACCCTCTTATAAACATTCATATAAAGCTAGACGGGGGCACAGCAGAACCTTAAGGTCATACATTACTGAAGTCAGAGAGACCTGGCTTTTAGTTTGGGTTTATCACTTGATAGCTATGTGACATTGGACAGACAAATTGATGAACTCTTCTGAACCCTAACAATATTAAAACATGGATACTAATTATTACCTAGTAGTGTGAGGGTTAAATAAAATCAAGGGCATAGAGTCAGCATTCAGTATGAGGCTACAGCTGAGCTTGACATAAAAGGTAGCCCCTCTTCCTGACGGCACAGGGGAGAGGAACCCCGAATGCTCACCGCCCTAGTGTCCCAGTTTCACTGAGTTACATTCTATGGATTCAGCGAGATTTTAAAGATTAAGGTAGCTTAATAAGAGGATTAAAAATTTTGTTTTTATTGATTTCAGAGAGAGGAAGGAAGAGAAACATCAATGAGAGAAACACCAATCAGCAGCCTTCTGCATGCCCCCTACTGGGGATAGAACCTGCAACCTGGGCATGTGCCCTGACCGGGAATCAAGCCTGCGACCTCCTGGTGCATGGGATGAAGCTCAACCAATTGAGCAACACTGGCCAGGCCAACAAGAGGATTTTGATGGATGTTGATGTAACCTCCCTCCTGCTGGCACCAAGCTGGGCATTAACTTTCTTGGCCACTGGAAATGGGATTGAAGACAATTGGGTAAAATGACCCAGCAACTCCACTGGGAGCTGCAGGTTTAGGAGAAATGAGAGTTGGACTGATCTGCTCAGTCCCCAGAGCACAGATTCGACCCTAGGCACTGGCCTAAATTCTAATTAATTTATGCTTTGCATCCATCCCAGGAACAAGGTACTATTTATTATTACCCTGCTCTAAAGATAAGGAAACAAAGGCACAGAGAGGTTAAGAAAATGGCTCATGATCACACAGCCAATGAATAGTTGAGTTGGGTTTGAAGGTCTGGTGGCCTGGGCCCAGTGTCCATCCCCACTGATTCTCGAAGTGGGGGTCTCTGAACTGTTAGGAGCAGCAGCAGCAGCAGCCGCCGCCAGCGTCTGGAACTCATTAGAATTGCAAATTCTTGGGTCCAAAACGACCCACTGAATCAGAAACTCTGGGAGCCCTTCTGTATTTAACGAGCCCTTCAGGGCCTGCTGATGCTCACCCAAGTGGGAAAACGGCCTCACTACTTCATGCATAGGAAGTAAACAGAGATAGCGCATTATCTAAAATCCGGAAGTCCACAGTACCCACCCTCACCCACAGTACTCATCCTCACCCGTGTGCGGATGGCTCCCTTTCAGCCCAGTGAAGACCCCGAGGCATCTATACAATAAGGCAGGGGCCTTGGATGTGCCACTGAAAATTCTCCTGATGCCACACGCCTGTGTGATTTGGCACTCATCTGTCTCAATCCGGTGAAACAAACAAGCTGAACCGTGCCTAAGGAAACTCAGAACCAGACAATCCCAGTAATTGCCCTTATGGAGAACATAGCTCTGCAGTTTCATTCATTGACACCTTCCTTGCAGTTTTCTCTCCAACCTCTCACTCCATAACTGCTGCCCTCACTCCCAGGTCCAGCGGGTTCCAAGGAGGGGCTGCTCATTGGGAATCAAGACCCTGAGGACTCAGCAGCTTGGAGCCCACAGTAGAGCTCTCCATCAACCTTGAACTTGGGGAGATGCACCTGCCCAAGACCCTTTTCAAAGCAACAAGCCTTCAGGTAAGCAGATTTGTCCTTTTTAACCCGTAATTCATATGAGAGTCAATCCAACTTGAGTACAGTACCAGCTGGCAAAAGAACAGAGCAGTGCAGCATGGGGACTGGGTTGGGTGCATCGGAGTGGAACCCCACAAGGATTTTTTATTGGTTGAACCTCTAAACCATTTATCTAAGGTCAAACAAATGAATCTTAGCATTTGGGTATTGAACCCGAATAGGAAAATAAAAACTCTTATGCAAATCAGCAGATGTTATTTTTGAGTTGAGGATTTGGGTTATTTTCATATTAGAATGGCAAGGCTGCCAGAGGCTGTGAGTGCACCTGGTGGGCAAGGCAATGAGAGGACCAGATCAGACAGGCCATCTCCAGGCGGGTCAGCATTTTTCTCCTACAGCAGTGGTTTGGGGCTGATAATTCCCTTGGGAACTCAGTGGGTGTTACTCAGAGCCCTGGAGAGTGGACCTGTCTTAAGTTAAAAGTCAGGTATATCTGTGGCTCGGGGCCTATTCAGAGCTGTCACTAAAACCTTTCCACTAAGATGTCCATGATGAGATAAACTTCTGCTTCCCCACGCAGGTTGGCATCCCTAAAAATAGGCCCACTGATCCTCATGGAGCCTTAGCTCTCAGCAGTACAGGACAGGAAAAAAGGTTGGGAACTCTGACATAACTTCAAGAAGAGACATTGGGCATGTCACCCAGTGGTTAAAACTGGATGTCTAAAGGATTGAGGAGACTCATACGTTCTATGGCACACTGAGCGGTTCAAGTCCCATTGGGCCACAACAACATGAAGGACAGACTAAAACACTCCTGTTGACAGAGTTCCCAGATGGACCCCAAGATTCCCAGCATCTGGGATACAAATCCTGTATCACTCCTCCCCTTAAGTGTGGACAATATCTAATAATACGGGATAGCAGCACATCTGATTAAATTATCAAAGCGATCAAATTATGCTACATTATATAAGGCTTGTGTTTGTTTTTTTAAAAAATATATTTCTACCAGAGGTCTGGTGCACAAAATTAGTGCACAGGTAGGGTTCCTAGGCCTGGCCAGTGATCAGGGCTGATCGAGCCTTCCAGCTGCTGGCTGGGGCCTTCCTTCGTTCCGCATTGCCTCTTGGTGGTCAGGACATATCACAGTGAGCAACAGAACTCCCAGTCTCCCAGTCGAACTCCCGAGGGGACAATTTGCACATTAGGTTTTTATATATATACTAGAGGCCCGGTGCACAAAAATTTGTGCACTCGGCGGGGGAGGGGTCCCTCAGCCCGGCCTGTGCCCTCTCACAGTCTGGGACCCCTCGGGGGATGACCACCTGCTGGCTTAGGCCTACTCCTCGGGGGATTGGGCCTAAGCTGGCAATCAGACATCCCTCTGGCAGCCCGGCAGCCCTTGGGGCATGTCCACTTGCCAGCGGGGAGCAGACCTAAGCTGCAGTCGGACATCCTTAGTGCTGCTGAGGAGGCGGGAGAGGCTCCCACCACCACCGCTGTACTGGAAGCCATCAGCCTGGCTTGTGGCTGAGCAGAGCTCCTCCATGTGGGAGCTCACTGACCACCAGAGGGCAGCTCCTGCATTGAGCGTCTACCCACTGGTGGTCAGTGTGTGTCACAGTGACCAGTCATTCCCAGTCTTTCTGCTGTTAGAATCAGTTTGCATATTACCCTTTTACTATATAGAATAGAGGCCTGGTGCACAGGTGGGGGCTGGCTGGTTTGCCCTGAAGGGTGTCCCGGATCAGGGTGGGGGTCCCGCTTGGGTGCCTGGCCAGCCTGGGTTAGGGGCTGATGGCTATTTGCAGCTGGTCACACCCCCTTCAGGGTGAGGGTCCCCACTGGGGTGCCTGGCCAGCCTGGACGAGGGGCTGATGGTTATTTTCAGGCTGCCTCCACCCCCTTTAGGATGGGGGTCCTCACTGGGGTGCCTGGCCAGTCTAAATGAGGGGTTGAGGGCTGTTTTCAGGCTGGCCAAGCCAGCGATGGAAGCTCCCAGCCTCTCCTTTTTTTCTTTTTTATTCTGTGATTTATTTACCTTCTATAATTGCAACTTTGTTGCTTAAAGTGGAGCTCAGAGCCAGGCTGCGGCAGGAGGGGAACCTTGGCTTCCTCCATCACTGGAGCAAGCAAGCCTCCTGCTCGCTTCAGCTGCGTGGCTGCCGGCTGCCATCTTGGTTGGGTTAATTTGCATGTCCTACTGATTAGCCAATGGGAAGTGTAGCGGAGGTATGGTCAATTACCATGTTTGTCTATTATTAGATTAGATATATAGATTGATTTCAGAGAGGAAGGAAGAGGAAGAGATAGAAACATCAATGATAAGAGAGAATCATTGATTGGCTGTCTCCTGCACACCCCCCACTGGAGATCGAGCCCAGCTTCTTTTCTCACAAACTGTGACTTTTGGCAGATTGCTTAATCCTCTTGAGCTTCAGTGTTCTCATCCATAAAATGGAGACAATACCAGCCTCACAGTAGGGTGAGGATTAAATGATATAACACATGTCCAAGACCAGGCAGTGTCTGCTAGAGCAGTCACTTGAGAAATGTGGGCCCATCCCATTGTACCCCTTCCCATGAATTAAATTCCACAGGCTACCTGGGGGGGAGGGGGGGGAAACAGAGCTGGGGTGGGGGAGTGCCTCTGCCATGTAGGTGTGAGGATGCACTGGGAGGCTGTGGGCTTTCTGAGGCGGTGACGACATGGGTGGTGGCCACGACACAGAGCTTGCTCACCTTCAGCATGGCTCTGGCCCCTGAGCTGCTCTGTTGTTGAGGACGTCATTACATCTTCCAGGTCCACCCTCTCATTGTCCTCCTTTTCCCGAAGGGTTCGCAGTTCCTTTTTCTGCACAGCAGCCCTCTCGTCTCACCCGTTCCCAGCACTCTCTAGACTCCCTGCCAACTTCG